CTTTACCTCGTTGGGAAAATGTCTCCTAACCCGGGTTTTTGTAAATTAATAACCAGCTCAGTGGATAAGCATCCACCTAACATACTGGAGGTAAATTTTCCACCTTGTCAATAATTTAATATATCAAGAGTCAACACTGTCATACGAGGCTTCACTTCATTTTATACCAGACAGTTCAAGCTACTTAACACGAGGTTTAACTTCATTTTATACCAGACAGTTCAAGCTACCTAACACGAGGCTTCACTTCATTTTATACCAGACAGTTCAAGCTACCTAACGCCAGAGGTTTCACGTGTTTTTCTGTTGACAAACTTACTTCTCGTTACCTAAATCTTAATGTATTTTCGAATTAGACAAAAATCACTTCGTGTGACCTGAGTGTTGATAGAGTCATATTTTGTTTTCAGAAATTTTACATGCTTTTCCTCGTTAAAAAGTGTCAGGTCTTTTGTATTGAGGCTTCTTTTGTTGAACCGCTAAAATCTCACATCTTATAACCTGAGGCTTCGTGTGGCTTTCTGACAAGCTTACATGCTGTTCCTGAAGCTACATGATACCACTGACACACGTCCTGTGACCTGCGGCTTCTGGTAGTTTTCTGTCAAACTCATTTTGTGACCTGAGCCTATTTTTCTACCCAAATCCAGTCTTATTCTGTTCCTGAGACTCCACTTGCCTTTCTGACAAACTCGCGTCTGACAAACGAGGGCGCTGTGACTCTGATGTCAATATTGTTACTCTGTCACTTTGACAACCGTGAAAGGTACAATGCCTGACACTCAAACAAAACTATGTTAAAACTATTTCGTTGTGCTATTGATTGCACTGGTCAATGTGTGTGTGGATAAATCATTGCTTAGACGAGGCTTCACTTAAGAAAGGTGATGGTATTTCTGCTTGTCAGGAAAAAGAAATTAAAATTTCTGCTAATTCGGGTTTCAGCCATATGACGACTCATTCGGTGGGGCTTTTGGTCATGCTACAGAAGCCTTCCGCAAGCTTACCTGACCACGTCGAAAAAAAATAATAAAGTATTTCATTAGATAAGAGTGTATTTACGTTCGACTCAGGTGAGTATCTTAGGATATTTCTCCTACATATTTGTTACCCTCCAGCCGGAGGGCCCCAAAAAAGAAGACAGAAGAAAGAAAATGAACGACATCCCCAACCCGGGGGCCACCGCCGGGTCGTCATCTGGAGAAGACTCGGGCCGGAAGTAGCGGCAAATCCCTAATGAATGAATGAATCCAACATATTTTTCTCGCAGTCTCTGCAAGGTATTACGTAAACACCTACTTTGGTTTCAAAAGGAGTTCTAGGTTTCTTGCTGGTTAAGTTCCCCCCATCTCATTATTAATGAGAAGAGTTTCTTAAGTTTATAAAAAAAAGAAGAATGTCATGAGCTTAATTTAAACGTATGAAACGAAGTGAGCATTAAATCAAAAGCACGTAGAACAAGGTATGCATTTATTATAGAAGACGTTTTACTCGATGAGATCTTTATCAAGTACAGTGGGAGAAAGGACGGTATTAATAGTCTCTATAGCGCTGACAGTGATATACTGAGTACCAGATTATTGCTTATCTCAAACGATACAACTAACTTTTTCGTGCGTTAATAATAAAGTCCACTGTAGTGTTTAGGTGATCCATTATATTTTTATATATATATATATATATATATATATATATATATATATATATATATATATTATATATATATATATTTTATATTATATATGTCGTGGCCGAATATGTAAAACTGGTCAATTAGCAAGAACTCATTAAAATTAAGTCCTTTCTAAATTTTCTCTTATACGTTTTAAGATATATTTTTTTCATTTATGATAATGTAAAAAATTTTAATTTTGCACCAAAAGAATCTTAGAAAACTTACCTAACCTTATTATAACATGAACAAATTTATTTTAGCCTAACCTAACTAAATATATTTTAGATTTGTTTACAGTAATTTAATACTAAACAAACACAGTGAAAATATATTTTTTTCGTTAGGTTCAGAATGATTTTTGCCGAAATTATTGCATACACAAATTTTCACTTTCCTATATGGCAAGATGAGCGTTGCTATTTAAGCCAAGATCGCAAGTTCTGCCTATTCGGCACGACATTCGGCCGACTTGTTGGAAAAAATTAATATATATATATTATAATATATATATTTTATATATATATATATATATATATATACATATATATATATATATATATATATATATATATATATATATATATATTATAATATTATATATATATATATATATAATATACATATATCTAAGCATTATATATATATATATATATATATATATATATAGATATATACATACGAGACTTATATATATATATTATATATATATATATATATATATTTTATATATATATATATATATATATTTATATATATATAAAATATATTATATATATTGTGTGTGTGGTTTGTATACGTCACACGTACTCTATATGAATCTACATACATATATACATACATTATAACAATTGTATACTAGAAATACTAACTATTAAATTTTTGAAGTTACTTGTCGCCCAATGTTTTGTCACCGTTGAATTTGCAAGTGTCTTAACAGCTAACACTTCACACAACCTTAAAGCAACACTATACATCACCTTATAAATATTGCACGTCACCTTACAGATACTTCACTTCATTTTACAGAAGCTTCACTTCACCTTAGAGACACTTGTCCCCTTACAACCCATTTCGTTACTCTAAAACACTACACATCACTACACTTCACGTGTTTTTCTTTTGAGAAATCTTCCAAAATTATAAATAACAATGTTTGTCTCCAGCTTTTTACCGACAATTCACATTAACCAACGTAACACTTTATTATAATCGATTTATCACATCTTTATCAAATTATGGTATAGTCCCCTATGAGCGATACGTCGCTTTAAGACAGTTTGTGTTATATGTTTTCTTCTACTTGTGGACTGAGCGACTGTAGCGAATCACTGGGAATCTCAGCAAGTGTTGACGTTGTGTGCCGGTGTCGCCACACAACCCCATAACTTCTGCTCCACACTCTCGTACTGCACCTACTTACTCGTATCTGTGTTGTCTATCTTTCTTTCAAGACGATTATTTCTCTCGTGATTATGTAAAATACAACGTAAGATTGGCGAAGTACTACAGCCGGCCTATTGGCGAAGTACTACAGCCGGCCTATTGGCGAAGTACTACAGCCGGCCTATTGGCTCATGCTACGCAAGTTTTTCTTAGATCTAACCATCATTACCGTATTGGTATATAGTACCGACAATTTGTTGAATAAAACACATATATATGGAACACTTGGATATCCTCATTGATGGAGACGTTTTTGTTAACTAGCGTCATTTTCTATCCAATACAGAGAATATATATTGGAGACGGTGGACAAAAACTGAGAGGGAATTTGAGGTGAGGAATCCCTCAGCCTTGATTATAGTTCAGGGACTGACCACATCAAATTACTTCTTAAACTGTCTCCAACTTATAATTTCTGTATTTTATTGAAAGAGCCTCTGATTTGCAAATCATCTCCCTTAATAAAGTTACCCAGGTGTTACACATCTGTCATTTTCATAATCAAATCCAACCTTTGTCACTCACAAATTTGTCAAACACATTTTTGAAGATAACGTTTGAGATTCACTGACCTCACTTGGCAGACTGTACCGCTCGTCTACGAATCTCCTGCAGAACCAACACTCTCCTGCTTCCTTTCTCTACGTCAGTTTCTTAAAACCTTCCCTGCCATATGTTGTATTCTAATCTAGGATTTATTAGGCTAAGTTGCGTTAGAGTATATAATCATTTAATAAACCTATTTAACCACTACAAATATAATAAATATTGGCTTGACTCATTTGGCCATGTGGTGCCTCCTCACCTCCTGGACACAAATAAGTCTACACTTAACACTTGTACGACACTAGATTGCGATATTTGTTTACATCCTCTATCATGGTATATACCCTTCACTGGGAGTACCTTGATGCCGGTGATAGGCTCCTGTTCGAAGAAACAGCTGTTACCCTCCCATTCTCCTACTTATGGAACTCCAAGGAGATGAAGAGAGTAATTTTGAGAAGCTTACTGCTGGTGATCACATAGTTTGGGTACTGGTGGGTAGTTACACGTAGAGGATAATTTATACTAAACTAAACTTAACCTAATGTTACCACATAAATACGAGGCGAGAAAGTTGGATGATATGTTGAGGCGTCTGTGGAAAAGAAGAGTTTATCAATAGAGGTAAAAATGAAAATATACCAGAGTATGGGTACGAAGCATTGGCTGGAAACTTTCCAGCAAGGATGAGGCTAGAGGTAATGGAGATATCTATCTGGAGAACAAAGTGTGGTGCGAATATTACAGAGAAATCAGCGTATAAATTAGAAGACGGTGTGGGTTATCAAGTTTTAATTCAGAAGTTTTAGGAGGGGTTACCGAGATGGTTTGGACCTTTAAAGAGGACGTAGAAAATTAGGATACTTAGGAGAGTGAATAAAACTGGGGTTGAAAATAAAGGAGAGTTAAGGGATGGAGGGAAGAATAAAAGTTTTTATTGCTTAATGTTCGATCATCCAGCAGGCTTGTGTTAGTGTTTTAGTGCGGATTGAGTGGAGATAATATGTTTTTATGCCTTGAGGTGCTGTAGAGTGTGAGCAAGTAACATGTATGAAGGAATGGTGCGAAACTGGTTAACCGGAGTTGAATCCTGAATGTGGGAAGTACGTGCCTGCACTCTGAAGGAGGGGTGAGAGGTCGCACTTCAGAGGGTCACCTCGATTGTGATGGCTGTGCACTTCTGTTAAGACACTGCATTAACTGAGTAATGGTGAATGTTTTCATTTTTAGGTCAACCTTCCTCGGTGACAGACAGCCGGTACGGCAAAAAAAAAAAAATGTAAATACGTATTACCTTTTGACCCGTGGCTCCGTAGACAACGCTCTCGCCTCCACACTGATTGTCCGTGGTTCAATTCCAGGTGGAAACATAGGGCGTGTTTCCTTACACCTACTGTCCCTGTTCACCTAGAAATAAGTAGGTAACTGGGTACTCACCTACTTGTACTCACTTATTTGTGGTTGCAAGGGTCGAGTCATGCTGCAGGGTCGAGTTAACTGTTGTGAGTCGCATCCTGGGGGACAAGATTGAAGAACCAAAATGGGAATCAGACAGACAGTCCTCGATGACGCACTAACATTCCTGGGTTATCTTGGGTGGATAACCCTCCGGGTTAAAAATCCGAAAAAAATATTGTCTTATTTTAATGCTAAGAAAGAGTAATAATCTTTTTTTAATTTTGTATACCATAAAATGAAGAGAGAACTGTTGATAAAACCATTTTCTTTCAATATTTACTGGCTAACTCATATATTATTAAACCAGCTTATGAATTTGATTCCAAATTATTTTCAGTAAGAGAGTAAGCGAGCAAGCAAGCAATCAAGCAAATAAGGAAGAAAGCAAGCAAGTTAATATGTAAGTCAGTAGGTAAATTAAAATATTGTTTATTATTATTATTATTATTATTATTATTATTATTATTATTATTATAAGTAGGCGATGATAAGGGTTAAGCCAAGATAAGTTTGTGTCTCTTTGTGTTGAGGTGACTTTACAAACCATACCACGGGCGGGATTGAACCCGCGGTCAGAGAGTCTCAAAACAAAGCTTTACACTCAGCTTCTATTGAGGGTACTGAAACTGGGTGTTTCGGTGGTCACCGCCCCCGAGGCCCAGTCCACGACCAGGCCTCGCTGTGGATCAGGGCCTTATCAACCAGGCTGACGTTCTAATCAAGCCATACCACGGGCGGGGTTAGAACCCGCGATCAGAGCGTCTCAAAACTCCAGACCGTCACGTATGGTTTGTTTGCAATCGTGCCATTACGATTTCGTGAGTCATGACGTACTAATCATTCAGTATAGTTACGTTTAAATCATCACCAACATTTGTTTATACAAGGAGAATGTACAGTGTTTGATCTTACACGTGAACGAATTAAGCAAAGTAAAAAAAAAAATAAATATATACCGCAGGATATATACACCCTGAGATGTATTTCTATCAGGAAATATATGCTTTGTTTTAGGGATTAAAGTATTCTTGTCTGGTGGTGATGAGGTTACGGGCAGCTCGGTAGGCAGCACACTCAGCTCACATACTGAGGTCCGTGGTTCGATCCCCGGTATGGGTGGAACTATTGGGAGTGTGTTTCCTTAAGACACCTGCTATCCCTGTTCACTTAGCAGTAAATGGGTACCTGAGTATTGGTCAACTGGTGTGGGTCGCATCCTGGGGTCAAAATTAACCTAATTTGCCCGAAATGTTCTGCATATCATGGAGATTTCTATATAGGATGTCAGCTATGCCCCGTGGCCTGGTGGCTAAAGTTCTCGCTTCACACGGCGAGGGTCTGGGTTCGATTTCCAGCGAGGGTATAAACATTTCACGTGTTTCTTTACACCGGTTGTCTATGTTCCTCATCAGTAAAACGGGTACCTGGGAGTTAGTCGACTGGTGTGGGTTGCATCCTGGGACAAAACTGACCTAATATGCCCGAAATGCTCTGCATAACAAGCGGCTTTCTATATAGTAGTATGTCACTGATGTCAGCTATGGTCTGTATACCTTGTACTTGTACTTGTAAATATATAATAATATCTTTATTTCTACAAGTACTTGTAGCAATGAAGATTATTGTTATTATTATGTACTTGCAGAAATAAAGATTATTGTTATTATTAATGACCTTAGTGTAGTCGATATTACAACCTAGGATTTCAAAGGCCTGTTATCCCGGGTGTAATGGGAGCAAAAGAAACACAGCAGAAAAAGTTTAGACTTATATTATCCTTCACCAATTTAGAACAGCAATATGTACACTATGTACAGTAATAAGTATAGTGCACGTCACGGTAAGCAAGGCAGAAATAGAAGCCACAAGATAGCAGACCGTGCTCAACCAGCTCTAGAATGGGAATGACAAGGGCAGACAGGAGAGCGGTATCCACATAACCTCTGCGATTGCCAATCCCACCATCTTATTGGCTAGAACCTGGTCACTAGTTGAACGACGGGGCCCCATCACCAACTCTTAGCAACCTGGTTCGCTGGTTGGGGGAGATAGCCTGTAAATGAGGGTGTGTCCATGCGCCGAATAAAGGTTACGTACTCTTTGCATGCCACAGTCGATATGTTGTAAACCCTGTTAATCAACAAACCGACAATGCCAATGGCAAATACCTCTCATAGGCGTATAGATCTGGGGTTTAATCTTGGTTGAACCTGATTACCTTTCACTCTCTAGGTTCAGAATGTAACCTCGAGATTCAGGGTTTATCAATGGATACAATAATAATAAGAGTCAGCTGGCACTTGCTGCTGTCTGTGAGTCAGTTGGCACCTGCTGCTGTCTGTGAGTCAGCTGGCACCTGCTGCTGTCTGTGAGTCAGC